AAAGGTTATCAAGCACTGGACCGGGAAGGCAGTGGAGTCCCCATCCTTGGGGGGCTTTAAAGGATGTGTTGATGTGGCACCTGGGGATTTGCTTCATCGGTGGCCTTGGAAGTGCTGGGGGAATGGTTGGAGTTGATGATCTTGTTTCCGACATCAGTGATTCTAGAATTCACAGCTGCTCTCCTGCGTGAGAGTGAAGCTGCTGCTGCTCACAGGATGGACCTTGTCGCTCAGTTCCTAACCATGCAGCATGTCCCACTGAGGGATGGTGGGATGGGGCACTCAAGTGCACTGAGCAAAGTAGAGAAAATTCTCTCTGAGGGGCACACAGATGGATGCTCAGTTCATCCATCCATCCATCCATCCATCCATCCATCCATCCATCCATCCATCCAGTGAGGGACACAAGCCTTGTGCAGGGACAGGACAGCATTTCGGCACAGTGGTGACCCCAACCTTCGGGGCAGTGATGACCCCGAGTGTGGCCTCAGGGTTGCACGGGGCTCCACCGCACGGTCGCTGCTACTTTTCAGGACGGTGGCTGCCCCTCCGCCCGTCCCGTCCCACCCCGTGTCATGTCCCGTCCCGTGTGTCGTGTCGTGTCATGTCCCATGTCGCGTATACCGGGTCCCCTGCCCTGTCCCGTGCGGCGGCCACGGCGCTGAGGCGGCTGAGGGCGATCCCCGCGCGGCGGGCGCCCCCTGCCGGCCGGCGCATGCGCCGCAGGGCCCGGCCTGGGCCCGGAGCCGCCCTCACTCCGCGGCCGCAGCGAAGCCCCGAGCCCGCCGGGAAAATAAAATCTAACAGCGCCTTTTTAAACCCTCCGGGGCAGATAAACCCTCTGACACCTTTTAGTGCCAGCGAGGAACGTGTTGCTTTGTTCTTGCTCAAAAGAGGTGTGTGTCTGTGTGGCCGACAAAATTTCCTGGCCTCTACACAAGGTGTTGATACAAAACTTCTTCACCTGTTTGTATATTTTTAGCAAACAAAAACATTAATGTTCACTGATTCCAAATCACACAATTAGTTCTTTAATTAGCATTCTGCCCTCTCTTGGTTATGGATTTCTCACTGTTCCTGCTAATTAATATTTTTAGTCTTTTTAGTATCTTTTTTCCTCCAGCAGGGATTTTCCTACACAAATATACTGAGTCTTTGTTATCTTCTTCTTTACCTTCTGGTTCTTGAAAAACATCTTTGTAGTCCATAAATTCTTCACTTCTTGTATCCAATTTCAGCAATACATCCCTCTCTCCCAGGCCTTGCTCATTGAAGCATATCAAAGTTAGCTTAGCAAAACTTTAAGTTTCTGTAATTTTCCCAAGCTGTATTCCCCCAATACCTGCTCATGCTAAATTTTGGCTAAAAGTGATTTAACACATTGCTTATAATTAATACACTGGTTCTGATTAAATAAAACAAATTAAATTAATTAAAGCCATTAATTAAAAATTAGAAAAGTTGTATAATTTCCAACAGAAGAACAAGGATTTGGTAGATGGCTGTAATCTTTTTAATCTGGAATTTTATGCAGGCATTTGGAGCTGCCTGTGCTCGAGCAAGCTCCATATCTCTGCACGGCTCCCTTCTGCCTCCTGTGAGCAGTGATAATATCACTTCTCTGCCTCCCAAGACTGCTGTGAGTAAATGCTTTAGAAAATTATTTGGCTGGGCTGCTCTTTTCTCCAGTGCTCTAGTATGGTTTGCTCCTGTAGCTGGGACAGTTGTACAACTGCAGTATTTTATAAAACACCAGACAGAGGCAGGGGATTCTGCAGCCCTCAGGTGAGACCCCACCTGCAGAGCTGCCCCAGCACAGCACAGGAAGGACCTGGAGCTGTTGGATGAGTCCAGAGATCATCACGGTGATCAGAGGAATGGAGCAACCCTGCTGTGAGGGAAGGCTGAGAGAGCTGGGATTGTTCAGCCTGGAAAAGGGAAGGCTTTGGGCTGACCTGATTCCCCTGCCTGAAGGGAGATGACAAGAAAGGTGGAGAGAGACTTTTTACAAGAACATGTAGTGACAGGACAAGGCAGAATGGCTTCAAACTGACAGAGAGGAGGCTTAAATTAGACACCAGAAAAGAATTGTTTACTGTGAGGGTGTTGAGGCCCTGACGCAGGCCCAGAGTTGTGGATGCCCCATCCCTGGAAATGCTCAAGGCCAGTTTGGATGGGACTTGTGGCGACCTGGTCTAGTGCAACCATGGCAGGGGTATGGAACAAAATGATCTTTAAGGTCCCTTCCAACCCAGGCTATTCTATGATTTCATGATTCCATGATCTGCTGTGACTGCTCTCTTTGTGCACACTGCTGTAGGAATTACACATGATGGTGATGAGTATACCCTATACCCAGCTCTGAAAGAAGTTTCTGAAATTTGTGCTCCCCAGTTTTGTGGCTGCAATTTAAAAACCCACATTTGTAGTGCACGGTGTGCTGTCAAAGCTGAGATCTGCAGGATCTGAGCAGTTTTGTGACAGCTGCAGGATGGCATTTCAGTTTCCACGGAAACTGGCACAAAAATCAAGGTGAAGTGTTGGCTGATTATCTAATAATAAAGCTGAACATTTAAATATGAAGTTCTTCACCTTCCTTTTGCTGAGAAAACTTCTGTTCCTACAGCACCCAGCAAACGCTACAGAGGCCTTGTGTCTTCAAATTGTGGTCTCAGCTTGGGCTATGTAATCTCCTTTCCAGAGAGGAAAGACAAAATTCGGCCTTGACCCATTCAGCCACCAAGCCTTATGCTCTGCTTTTAAGATAAAAGGCTGATTTGTCCTCACAATTACTGCACAAACCAACACCATTGTTTATATGACAAATTACAGAGTAACAGAAGTTCTTTTGCTTTGCTGTGTATTTTTCTACTGTGCATTTCCAGAACCTTTCTGTGCTCAAATGCATTTCCTTGTAAAAAGTTCTCATTGCATACATTTTTTATCTGCCCACACTCCTGCTTATCACCTGAATTTAATGGCTCTTTGGCTTTGCACTCACTGGACTCTTGTTTTGAGTCAGTGAGTTTGATCCTTGTGCTGAACATTCCTTTTTCAGGTCATTGATTTCTAAGGTTAACAAAATGAATCCTCCTTCTGATCCTTGCTACGTCCCACTAATCTCATTGCTATATCCTGAACTGCTCAATTACCTTTTGTCTTCAATTTCAGATGCATTTATCAAACCCACAGATCAGTCCTTTATGCAGGAAGCAGTTTCATATTGGATTCAAGAACATATTTGTGTGAATATTTCTCATACTTATATTTCAATTTGCTAAGGCTGTTTAAATTTTCTTGGTTAATTTGCTTCTTGACATACCCTTTTAAGTGTACTTTCTCCACTGCTTATTTTTTGCCAGAGATGTCTTTCTTTCTAACCTCTATTCTTTTCTCCCCTTGAAGAAGTATCTTCCAGTATTTGATAGTGTTGACTTTCTACTTTGCAGCACTTTATCTTTTTTACCCTCCTGAATAATTTGTTCATTTGCCATCCTTTCTTTACTCTAGGCAGAGAGTAAAAGCCAATGTTCTTCTGAAGGACATTTCCTCTGTTTTTCTCAATAGGAAATTTGGGATTTTCTTAGGCCTGTCTTCTGTATCTCTAACTCCATGTCCCATTGTTTTGATGGAGGCTGATGCCTACTTTGCCAGGTTTGGCATGATCAGTGGTATCTTGGCTTGGACATATGGAGGAGAACACAAATGCAAAAACCCAAAGGAGCAAAGTCCATGGCCTAACTCCCCATGACACTCTTTGGATCACCTGGGTATTAATTCAAAAGGGGAGCAAGCATAAGTCTTATTCCTTTCAAATGACCTGTTTCAAACCCAAAGGGTTCCAGTTTCATGTATCTATAACTGAGTCTGCTCTCACAGATACTGCCTTTGCTAGCAGTACAATATGGAGAAGAAAGGGCTTTTTACACCTCCATTAATGTGTCAATGGGTTGTCTTTGAGTGTGTTACAACAGCCAGGGCCACATGTCTTTCACAAATGTAATAAAAGAAGCCCAAACTAAATTTTGGCTGCAGAAACCCCTGTGCAGTCTCAGGACTCTCACTCTGAGCTGCATTTTGCATATCAGAAATCTCTTCTTTCCACTGCCCAAGGACCATGCAGCCATTTACAAACTACACTGACATCCCAGAACAAGTCACTGCCTTTGGCAGTGGCTCAGAGGGTGGGATCTCAGCAATAAACAATTCCTCTGAAGCTCTCAGGCACAGTAGCTTCTTTGCTAAAGAGAGGCACATTCTTAGTAACTGGATATGGCTGAAGATAAGGGTTTGATACCAGAGCACTGAGAAAGAATACAAAGAACACCACTCTCAATCAAGCTTGCTTAGAAATACCATTTCTCAGGAAGAAAAGCTGAAAGAAGTTCGGCTTTGGAAGGGACCTTTCGACAAAAACTTGGGTTTATAGGATTTGTTATCTTACATGATCCTATTTTATTTTAAATGTATCAAGTTAATTAAGGGTCATGTCATTTCTTTCACAGAAGAACTGAACCTCTGGGCTTCTCTGAGGAAGCATAGAAATTGAACATGTGAGATGACTACCCCAGAAACTTCATGGTAAATCCCTTCACATTCAGACAATTATCTTCTCATCATTTGAGATACTATGAAAAACCTTAAGCCCACAATACTCATATGCTTTAAAAAGAGGTGGTGAGGGCGTGTCACATTTAAAAAAAGAAATGGACACAAAGGCACTTCTGTTTAAAAGCCTCCAGGGTACTCTGAAATGTCAGTGGTAAAGCCTGGCTGAGCAGGAAATTGATAGTAGATGATAGTCTGCAGCAGGCATGGAGTTTATACAGCCTTGCACATTCATTAAGAATTTCAATTAAATGTGTTTTGCTGAACAGCTTTGAGCTGCTAGTTGTTGCATTTTTTTGGAAGAGGACCTTTGATGGCTAATTAGGGAGCAATATGAGGTGTAAAAGAAGCATGAATAGCCTAAAAAAACCTCAGCTACTTATACAGCTTAGAGTGGTGCTCTATTTTAGAAAGTGGTGGACATGTGGAGGTTTATGCAGGACCAAAATACTGCTAGCAGGTGAGTATGCCACTACCACTGCAGTCTGACAGAAGCCCATTAGCTTAAAAAGGAGTCCTTTCAGACAGTAAAAAGGACAACATAATTAGGTAGTCTGGTTCATTGGAAACACCTCCTCTGTTTTCAACATGAACACATCAGTTCCTTGATAGAAGAAATACACATTCAACAGTATTTTGGGTGACTTCCATTTCCAGTAATGTTGTTGTACATAGGAAAGGAGGTATGTTTGTCTTAGGCATTTTCTTCTTTGGAACAGAGAACAGAAGGAACAGAGAAATTACAAGAGGTAGTGAATTTAGCAAACCTGCACATAAAACAATCTTTCATAAGAATAAAATGCTGCATTTACAGCTGTAAATGTACACACCCGTATAAGTTAAAAATACAAAGCTACTTTTACTGTGTTTCTTGTTCTTTTTAAGTTCAGAAAATGAAGTACTCAAGTGCTGGACTTAAAGTGGTGAACCTCATTGCATTGGCAAAACCAAACCATTCATGCAGCACCAGGCTTTTTTGGCTTAGCCTAAGTGAGAAAGTTAGACAGTGCAAACAAAGTGCAATTGTGTTCTTCACAGTGTGTACATTTTGACTGGCTTGTAAAGTGAATGTAGAAGTTCATGACTCTCCCAGGCAGCTTCTTTTGATGGTTGAAGAAAACATGATCTGCAACATACTGGGCCACAGCCTGACTTGGAATGATTAGACCGGTGTTCATCAGCCAGTGGAGAGAAGTCAAAGTCAGCTACCTGGGAAAGGAGCATCAAAAAGATAACTTTTAGTTCAGTTCCCACTGGCTCAAGTCCAGTAAGAGCACATTGGGCTGCAAAAGGCACATAGTCCTCAACCATTTTCACTGAGTCACTAACTTCAAATAGACTTCTGATTTATACCTACTGTGCACATGGCTTATAGACAGTGTCTCTAGAGGTATATCATTTATATTGTGGCACAGTGTAAAGGGTATTAGGTACTTCCAAAGTACCATGAAAGCTGCTTTTGATTTAAGAACTTATGCTTATTGCAAACACCTTTTGTAGCAAGTGAAAGTATATTAGAGATGGCAGGGTGCTGGGGAGATGAAGGCCACATACAAGGGGTAGGTAACAATTTAGGGCTGCTTAAGGTAACATTCCCCTCCTTTTTTATTATCCTGTATCCTCTTGTACTGTCTGCTTGTTTTCTTTCATGTTACTATTCTGAGGCAGATCCTCTGGAATGGATACTTCAATGCAAGCATCTGCTTGGGAATATTGAAACACTGCCCATTATTATTCTGGCAATTTAGAGTTCTCTGCAGCAAACCAGAAGCATGGCTGTTTCTTCATTTGCCTACACTGCTTGGATTTTTTTTTGTGGAACAGATCACAATTACCAGGGAAATTCTCCCTCCTGCTCTGTTTGTCTGGGGATTAAAGAACCTTTCATATCAGATACCTTTCATGGCTGAAAGCTGCCTAATTACTATCCCAGCTCAAAGTAAGAGTAACTGAATACCTCCACGAGATCTTTTTGTTGTGTGTGACTTCGAAAAGTTGTGTACAGCACCAGTACCAGCATCGCTGAAACCAGAGCAGTGCAGAGCAGGACAAAAAAAGCTGGGTGGATTCCTAGGAAAAAGCACAAGGACACATTTCTGGAGTGACACAATACCCCAGAAAAAGGCAACGGTGAGAAGGAAACAATGAAGAAATTGTAGGAGTATTTTTAGAAAAAAGGAATGTGTGTAAGAAGGAATGAACTTTTCAGCCCTGATCACTTTAGATTTTTCTAAAATCTCAGGAGTGAGAGAGGAGTTTGTAAGGGTTTTTCCCTTTATGCCCTCTTTTGCACTTCTCCATCCAGTTTCATGTTAGCCCCTGACTCCCCAGGGTGTTTGTGGTACCCCAGGAGGATGGGAAGGACTCTCACCTCCACAGCAGCCAGGAGCTCCAGCACAGAGGATTCAGCCCTGCGTGCTCACCAGTGCCTTCTGCAGTGAGCTGCCCTGTCTGTACACAGCTGGCTCACAGTGACATGGTGTGACCACCCTGTGTCACAGCCTGGCTGTGCCCCATCCTCTTCACCTGGCCACCTAACCCCTCTCCCAGGTGCTTTAGGGACCCAGGAGGGCCATATGTGACCAAGCATGGGGGAGCCAGCTGGGGTCACTGGCAGGAGGACCAGAGACTTATAATGAAATGGACGCCTAGAAAAATCTACCCTCAAAATTCCATAACTAAACTAAACAATAAGAATTGAGACTGTTTAATTAAATAGAGTTACATGCACATTTTCCTAGTTAGCCTCTCTAACTCCAAAACCTGGACTATTTAAACTGAAAAATATTTCCTTTAAGTAATACAGCCTTCCCAGTGTACTTAGTAGCTTCAAGACACTCTTGGGACTAAGAGTTCAACAGAACACAAGAAGCTCAGAGCAATTACAGCAGGCACATTATAAATTCTCATTTCCCTTTCTATTCCTCTCCTTTTTATCTACACTGCATTCCTGAAACCTCATCTGCAGGCTGGTTATTCCACGCTTGTCCCTAACCTGTTTGGGACTCTCCGTGCTGCTCAGACTCCCTGTCCCTCACCTGCTGGCCGCACTTTGATCCCGTGGTACGTCTGCAGCATTGTCACGCCGTTCTCCACCCTGACACTGAGGCAGTACTGCCCCGCGTCCCTGAAAGTGTGGCTGAGGTTGTAGCAGGAGCCACTGATCTCCACCAGATGGCATTTGTCACCTTCAAGTGGAATGCACTCGGATTTTATAAGCCAGCATAATGCTAGTGGTGGGCTGAAACGACAAGAGCAAAAAGGCAAAATAAAGGTGAAAACTCTGCAAAAAATCTTAGCAAAGAGCTTGGTTAAAATAGCAGAATAATTTTGAAACTAATGAAGTTAATTTAAATACAGATAAAGAAATAATCAACTGCGCCGTTTGGTTTATAGCATATGCCAAGTGAAAAAGTTCTTTTGATGCTTCTATAAAGGCAGGTCTTTCAGCTGAGAGCTGAATACCTGCAAGGGTCATCAGCAGGCCACTGTGTGTAGAAAACTCCATAGTCCTTCTTCAATAAAGATCAAAGGAATCTTTTTTCCTGCACTTCCAAGGGAAGGTAGTTTTTTCTTTGTCCTTCTCACACAGAGATCACTGTCTGTACCACTGAAGCACACCCCAGACTGTTTTAATTAAAACACCCTGCACATGAAACTGGAAAGAAGATGAGCTCTGCACAAAGGACTAATAGCTGGAAAATGTAAGTAAATTTCAAGGATCACAGCATTCCCTTACAATAGCAAAAGGGTTTTTATTTGCTCTCAAGCAATTTAGTGCACCTCATGGCCATGTGGCTTCTCACTACATCTAATTGAAGCCTTTTATTTACCTTTCCAGATCCCTGTTTTAACTGTTTCTGCTTGAACTCACCTTATGCACTATAGACTTTGGTTCTGACAACAGACAGAGATTTTCTTTACCCTATTTTATTAGTTTTTTGTTTCTTATCACATTACAACATTCTTTGCTAAAAAAAGCATCTGGTTTGTGTGTTTAGCTAATTTTCTAGCTTTGTTTTTGATAACCCATCTCTGTTACTGCATCTCTATCTTAAACTCCTCTTGCATCAGCCCCAGTCCCGTGACTAGGAGGTCACCAAGTCTGCTCTTAGTGATCTCAGGTTTGCCTGTCACAGTTTTGGCTGTTCACCTTTACTGGGATGCCATCTCTAGTTCCCATTCCCAACATGCCTTTCACTTTCTGATTGCAAACTGTGCTGCTTTGTCTGTTGGGACTGTTTGGTAAATGACTCTGGTGCTGTTCACTGCAAAACTCCAACGTGCTCTAATGCTGCAACTTGAGAGAGCTTGTGCAAGGATTGAGGTGCTCACAACACTCCTATTTTATTATGATCCTTGCTGCATGGGGCTTCTATGTCTCATTCGTCTTGTGGCGATCTGAACTTTGCCAGAATCACTCCCCAGGCCTATTAATCCCCTATGATACTCGAGATTTGCTGCTATGCAACAGGACTTGGAATATGTTTCAATTTAATAACAGGAAAATTGGTGAAGGAGAAAAGTTCAGAAACAAGTTTTCAGATGTATTTTCCCCCCACTATTTCTCTGGCTACTTGTCTTTTAAGATTCCCTTTACAAAGATTAAAAAAAAAATAGTATTTGCTTTACGTAGGAGGATTCCACTTTTCTGTAAAGATGCAGGGTCTTTCAGGCTTTTAGAGCTTGTGGCATTTCAAGTCAGGAAAATGCAATATTCAACAGTATTTTTGGGAAGAAGGAGGTGGTTTTTGTTTTGTTTTTTAATAATTGTTATGTGGGGTTCAACTGACCATTTTGAGGAAACACTGGGGAAAAACACTTAAAGAGACAATTTTAAGGAGGAAAGAAGTTGTGTTTGCTACTTACGTGCCATTGATATGAAGAGACAAATTCAGGTTTTCCATTACGTGAGTCTCTCTGGAGCCCACTATGTCAATACTTTTAACAGCATCTGAGAAGAAATGAAAAGCCAACATGTCACACTCCCAATGTCAACTTGGGTCTCACTGGTTTCCCACTGAAGGTTTATTTCCACAGACTTGCAGATTGGAGCTTCATCAGTCACATAAATAATACTGTTTCTCTCACACCCCTAAAGGAAAACCTACCTCTAGAGATGTTGTAAGTTTCCTGACTTTTTGCCTGATTCCTTTTCATATGTATAATCAACTTTATTAATTCTTTTCATTTTTAATTCTGTGTTTCTTTACTCCTGAGGCTGATCAAATCAATGAGACTTTCCTAATGCTTGATTTAACTGCTTTATTGTTTAGGGATAGCTGGTGTAAATTGAACAAACAAATCACCGTAAGTTACCATAAATACTTTGTTGTTTGAATTGTATGTAAGACTTTTACAAAAGACAGTAAAATCAAAACTGAAGATTTTTTCTGTTTCCACCAAATTTTCTGCCCTAGAAGAGCAAGTAGTCAATTCTGCAGTGGAAACGCTTCACTGAATGATGTTGACCAGTTTTGCACATGAAACAATGTTGAATTTGTGTTACCACGCCAAAGCTAGATTGTATCTGTGCGTACTAGATTGTATCTGTATTACACAGCTTGTCCTGCATCGGAGGCGCAGAATGTTTCATAATTACCCAAGAGCTCCAGAGCTGTGGTAAAATCACCAGTTTTCTGCATCATTTCTCTCTCGTGAATGATGCTCCCAACCTGCTCCCATTCAGCCACGACCTTCAGGTGCACTGTGCGGTTCCCCATGGAGGAGCAGTTGCAGTAGACAAAGGGTTCCTTGGTAATCTGGTAAACCCTGTGTGCAACAGGAATAGATTTAGAATCAACACTGCCTTTTACCAAGTGCTTGAATATTTCTGGTTTAAATATATTTTAAATATATTTTCTGTACTGAAAACATTCCAGTGGCTGCAATTCTAATTCTACTTTATGTGCATATAAACATGGATTTACATCTGTGGTATTACCTATGGAACTACAAGATCCAGAGTAAATCTCTGCATTTTTAATTAAAGAAACTAAAGATAATGCTAAAAGAATTCACAAAATTGAATAGGAATAGTCAGTAAGTTATGAAAACAACATTTATAGCAGGCGGACTATTAGCTAACTGATTTTATTGGGATTTTTCTCTAGATGAACATCTGAATCAGAGCCATTTTGAATACTCATTAAAGCAAACAAAGTAAGCACACCTACCCATCTCCAAAATCCCAGTTGTAGACAAATGATGCTGACTTGAAGTAATGACTTGGGTCATGAAGAGAGAAAGAAATCCGGGTCACTGTGTCCGTGGAGGGGCTAGAACCACGTGTGGTAACTCTGCTGTCCTCTATCTGGGCTATGGTGAGGTTCCCTGTGATAAATTCTGCAGAACAAAAAGGAGAAAGAAGAATGACAACATATGTGACAGAAGAATGACAGCATGTATGACAGCATATATGACAGAAGAGTGACAGAATGTATGACAGCATGCTTCCACAGCATGCTCTGTGTGTCAAAACATTCTTTCAGATGTACTGGGTAAGTCTTGCTGTGTCCCAGACCAAGTGGTTAAGTGTATTTTATATCTATTACTCAGTGTTGTCATGCGTGTGAATGAGGCAGTGAAATGAAAATATTTATTGAGGGCTATACAATGGGTTATGAGAAAACATCCAGTAGAACTAAGATAAATAATCCTAGACTGATTGAGCTCAATATAAACTTTTACTATTTATTTTAAAAAACTGCTCTTAATAGCAAGCATCTAGATTCAGAGTCAGGCCAGTACACATACTCATCATGTCTGGGATGGTGGTGTTTGTTTGTTTTGTGGGGTTTTTAAATGTAGCTTCTTTTCCCCCTTAGTTTCAGCTATTTTTATAGAAATTAAGATTTGACTATTGTGAATAACAGATGTGCTATATGTTGTGAATACAGGAAGGGGGCAATGTTTTTATCTATGAGAGGTTCTTTGTTGGACAACGATAGGTAAGGACTGATCTAAAAAAACCCTCTCTAACCTACGAAACAATGAGATATGATGAGACACCAGCTCATTATAAAATTAATGGGCTATTGATTACCAGTAACAGACTCTTATCCTGTTAATAATTCATTAAATCTGGTTAACAGGCTTTTTGGTGATGAACAAAGAATAATTGCAATTACTGTTGGAATGGGGCTGTCAATCCATGTATCAGAGATTTGGTTAACCATAGCACACCAGTAGTTAATTTGTAAATAAAAAAGCATGTTTATAGTTATAGTTATTTATAGCATATTATAGTTACTATAACTTTATAGTTATGAATATTCCCAAAAAACTGCAGTTGCACTTAGCAACATTTAGAAATGCAGCCATGATTTCAGATCCAATTCCAATACACTTGGACAGAGCTTTAAAAGAAAATGTAATGCTCTGCTGTGCTGATGGCCTGAGATTTGCTGTGTCATGCAACAGGGAAAAGCAGCAGATTGGCACTGCTGATGGTCATCCTAACTTTAGGCCTAGAAATGCTGGAAGGCAGTAGAAGAAGCATTGTTCTAGGAGTTTGGACATTTCTGAGCCATGCTGATGTGTGAACTGCAGCTGCTGAAGCATCTGATTTCCAGTTCAGTTTCTCTAAGTGACAGAGGTAGGAAAACATGGGCTGCACTACACTTTCCTGTCGCTATAGAACATGAAAGAACACAAGCTCACACTGCTGTTCTCAAGGTGAAGAAAAAAAGAAGTTTATTTTCTAACTGTAACATTTATAGTTTTCCAAGAGTGACAGTAGATTTCAGGGTGACAGTGCCACCTCTCCAATAACACTAAACAGACTAACAGTCCATCAACTTTCTCTTCCTCCATAAAAAAATGCAAAACAATGAATTATTTACAAAAAGTGTGTGAGAAAGTTCGCTACAAGAATGTCAACATCAGAAAGCTTAAAAAATCTTAAAAAACCAGGGTGACACTTTCCTCCTGGGTGTAGAGAGACTAGAGCATGGCTGTCATGGTACTTATTGCACCATGCCCCCCAACCCACCTTCAGCCCAGGGTTACAAATCAAATCTGTTGTCAGAACCCATATTTACACTGGCTTTCTCCCTGATGCTGCAAGGGCACATATCCTGAGCTCCTGGAGAGGAACAGGTTGTAAAGCCAAGGGCACATATCCTGAGCTCCTGGAGAGGTACAGGTTATAAAACCATTTACCCATTTTACCTGTAATCTGGAGCACGGTGACGTTTCTTGCAATCGGCCGACACAACCAACAGTGTTTGTGAGTCACCCAGACAGACACAGGGAAAGTGCCAGGGAATTCACCAGTCACGTTAATTATGGAATTAAGCTGCTGCTCGGATTTCTCAATCAGAATCAGAGGAGCATAGACCCAGTTAAAGTGATACCAGTTGGATGTGACATTTTCGTTCTTCATTCTTAGCCTGGCCTGAACAGTAGCTTGAGCTCCCGTTGTGATGGGACCATTGTTGGTTATTTCCAGGCTGTACAACTCTGTGGAAAGCAGAAGAAAATGAGTAAACCAAACCTTTTTGTATGGCATTTTAAATTTCATTTATTTATTTATACATTTGAACTAGTCAGCTCTAGTTATATAACTCACAATGACACCGGGGAGCAGCAAAGAATTTACCACCAAAATTTTTTACTGTTTAAATATCTGGAACAGAAACTGTTGCATATGTATATGAGTTCAAATAAATAGCAGTAAAAAATATGTCAGACTGGGTTCTAGAAATGTTCACAGTAGAAGACAGCTTCAGTCTAGATCATCACAAAAACTTTGATGAGATTTTACACCCAGAGCTGGGTGCTGGCTATAGGTTCATTGTCACTAATGATCTAACATGATCACTGGACTTCCAGCTACTGGAAGAGGCTCAGCTCTAATCTCTGCCCTAAAGATGTAAATTTTCAAACTCAGGTGAGATTTCATTCACTAGATTCCTTTGCCAGCTCTGTTGAAAAGTTTATCTAACTTTCCTCATAAGTAAACATAAAAAAAACTCAGTAAAAAGCATTTTCTGTACTATGATCCACCTTAAATTTCCTTTTCCAGGGAAGGACCAGAAGTGCTAAGGCAAATAAAAGATGCACCATGCTGTAGTGGCAGATCAGTTGCTGTCCAGAGGGACCTGGACAAGCTGAAAAAGTGAGCCCATGGGAACCTCATGGGGCTGAACCAGGCTCTGTGCAAGGTGCTGCCTCTGGATTGGGGTAACCCCTGGTATTCAGTACAGGCTGGGGGATGAAGGGATAGAGAAGGACTTGGGGGCACTGGTGGATGAAAATGTGGACGAGCCAACAATGTGCACCCAAGATATGAGGCTGCATAAAAATCAGCCTGCAGGTTGAGGGAGGTGATGTGTCACAATGTGGGTGGTGAAACACGGGCACGAGTTGTCCACTATGAACATTCAAGGTCAGATTGGACTGGGCTCTGAGCTACCTAATCTAGCTGAAGATGTCTGCTCATAGCAGGGGGTTAAACTTGATGACCTTTAAAGGTCTCTTCCAACTCAAACCGTGCTATGATTCTATGAGACACCAAGGCATGAGAGGTGCAGGACCTGTGATAGTGAGCCAGCTCTGCTGCTCTGAATGACTCACCATTATCTTCTCTGCCATGTTTGCTCAAATTACTTACTTCAGATCTTGCAACTACTGCAATAGACAGCATTGAGTTTTGTGGAAATAATACATTAGATTTTTTCCCCAAAAAATAGCAGTGCAGAAGCATTAAAGAAATGTGCATGTGTTAAACAACAAAATCAACCCCCAAGCCCCAAAACAAAAGGAAATGCAAAATAGCTGTGAATTGGGACAGAGCTGGGAGCAGGGTCTGGATGCTTGCCTCCAACATGGAGCATGTTCCCTTCCCTTCCCTGTATCAGAGCTCTGCCTGGCTCTCTCTCATCAGCAGTGCTGGGCAGAGCAGCAGAGCTGGGGGCTCTAAGGAGGGGCCTTTCCTTATCCCCTCTTTCAGCAGCCACCAGACTGCTACCAGGGATCTGAATCTCTGACCTTTAGAAAGTGCATTTCTCACTCATCCATAGCCCCTAATATGAGGGGAGCAGTGGGGCTAGCTAACTCCTGTGCTGGCTTTTCTGCACCCATCAGCTTGGGACGAAATGAAAGAGATGGTATTTGTGCCTGCATTTTATTTTACAGGTCACAGGTGCTGAACAATTTTAGAGGCAGAAGAACTGTGAGAAATGAACTGTAACACTACTGCCTGAGAAAGAACTCCACTGTTCCCATTTCACAGCACAAGAAATGGCCCTGAGTTCAGTTTTCTGAGTTAAAAGAGAAGTGCTTGTGATTTGATGAAATCTGTCAGAGGGAGGTTTCATGTCTCTAGAAGATTCAGGCTATGTTCCACTTAGTTTCAGCAGAATTCAGGGAAAAAATAGCCCACTACCTCATGCTTATCTAGCATTTCTCCTTGGAGGTTATCTCGGCTTTACAAATCAGGGCCACACCAGCCCAACAGCTGCAGCAGCTGGAGGTTCAGCGGCTAACCCAAGGTCACCCAGGGAGTGACCGGCACAGCAAAACACTCCATCCAATTCAGGCATTTCTCCTGCCTTTCCGACCTCTTTCTGCAGAATGGACCTCTGTGAGAGCCACAGCGAGGCACAGCAGCTGCCCAGGTGCCCTGTGACCTGCGGCGCGGGGTCAGCGGGGGAAGCAGAAGTGCAGCTTTTGGGTCAGAAGTGCAAAGCAGAACCCCAGCCTCCCGGGATGCCCCACGTCCACTGCAGGCACCAAAAATAAAGTCTGGTGTGATGGGAGCGTGCCCAGAGCCGCTTCCAACCCTTGTCACATCCATCGGGCTCGGGCAGGGAATCACCCCCACCCGTGATGCGGTCTGAGCCCTCGCCCCCAGCACCCCGCACCCCTCGCCCTGTCCCCGGCGGCGATGCCAGCGCAGACCGGCGCTTCCTTACCTGCGGCCGGGGAGCGGCTGTGGCCGAGCTGCAGCCGCAGCAGCAGCAGCAGCGCGCAGAGCAGCCACCGCATGCTGGGGGCCGCGGGGACGGGACTGGGCCGGCTCGGGAAGCGGGAGCGGCTCTGGGCGCCGCGGCTCCGTGTCCGCGCCCCCGGTGCGCTCCCCCGCGGCAGCGCCCGGCCCGCCTCTCCCGGGGGCAGCTACCGAGGGATCGCAGCGCCGCCGGGATGCAGAGCCGCCGGCGGTTTAAACAAATAGTCAATAAAACCCACAAATGCCTCCCATCTGCCGGGAGAGTGGGGACATCCCGGAGCGTTCGGGAAGGGGTTTGTGCCGCGCTTTGGTTGCGGCAAGCACATATAAATGAAGTATTCCTGCGGTGGTGCGGGGATGGCTCTGCCGGGGGCGCTTCGGCTGCTGTTACCGGTCCCGCAGCGCTCCGAACGGCCTGTAACGGGCACGCTGCTGGAGAGAGGCGACAGCAAAAGCGCCGGAATGTGGTTTTCCGGTGTTGTTTTTTTGTCGTTTTATTTTGTTTTTTCCTGTTTTGTTTTGTACCTTTTGGTTTTAATTCGTTCACTTGCAAGCTTTTTATTTTCTTAAACTCAACATTGGAAGCCCTTTCTCGCTCGGGGCCGCCGTTCTGTTTCTGCTGGCGGATCAGTTTCTCTGCGCGCTTCGCTTCCTGCGGTGCCGCGCTCCCCGGGGGCACCGGCGGGGCGGGGTGGGCCGTGCCCTGGCCGGAGGCACCGCCGCGGCGGCCTCTGCCCCGGTACCCCCTGGCCCGCTGTTAGCGGCGGTCAGCGGAGCCGCCGGGGCCGCGGGGACGGGCGGGGCTGGCCTCAGGAGCCCAGCCGGGGCGGGTCAAGGCGGGGCCGTGCGAGGCTCGCGGGGCCGGCGAAGGGAGCGGGCGGCGCCGCGCCCGCCTCCGCCCGGGGAGAGGCGCGGGAGGCGGCACCGGGAGGAGGCGGCCGGAACTGAGCTCGGGCGCTTCCGTCGCGCCCATGCGCTGCCGGCGGCCTCCGGGAGCAACAAAGGAGGGAGCCGGGGGGCCGCGGCCGGGCGCACCCGGGGAGCCGCGGGGTGAGGAGCGGAGCGGCGGTGCCCCGGTGGGCCCGGGCCTGGGCGCGGTGGAGCGGGGCGGGGGAGGCGGGAGCGGCGCGCTGCGGGCAGGAGGGGCCCCGCCGGAGGCCTGGGGCCGAGCGCGGCACCGGGAGGGCTGAGGGACGGGGAAGCGCCGCTGCGGCCGCTCACGGTGCCCGTGTTCGTAGGGCGGAGATGGGCTCGGCGTGACGGCGCCCTGGCAGCGGGGAGCGACCCGGGCGAGCAGCGCTGCGGCGGGGAAGGTGAGGGCGCAGGGTCCCGGGCTGGCTCGGCCGGACCTGGCCGGAGCGAAACTGACGGGGGTCCCCCAGGGGAGGAGGGAGATCGCCGGTCTCTGAAGCCAGACGTGATTTTACGTTTCTTTAGGAGCGAGACGGGCAGCTTGTGGCGGCAGGACAGCTGCAGGCGCCCCTGGCAGCGAGTCCCGCAGGGTGTGTCCGAGGGGAGCTGCAGGTTTGGGGCAGAGGGCAGGTGGTGACAGGTGAGCGGTGTCAGGAGCATCCCTGAGCCTGGAGCCTGCTGCTGGGACAGGAAACCGCGCAAAACACGGGAATGGTTCTGTGAAGAGCTCAATAATCCCCTTTATCTATTAGTGCACTCCTGTCACAATGACTGCTCTGCATGCTTGGTGTTGTATTTGTAAGTTAAATGTTACAGTTGTTGTTTTTGGAAAAGGTGGTCCTCTTCAATATGTTAGAAGAATGGATGTAGGCAGTGGGATAGCTGCTGCTTACAAACCGTGTAAACTGACAAATACTTCTGTATTCTTTTGTAGGTGTGCTGATCTTGATTTTATGTACTGAAAGCTGATCTTTACTCCTCCAAGATGGCATTTGTTTCAGCACAAGGGCCTACGGTGGTGGACCAAACCACTTTGATGAAAAAATACCTTCAGTTTGTGGCTGCTCTTACAGATGTCAATACACGTAAGAGACTTTTTTTTCTTGTAAATTGCAGCTGTTCATTAGTTAGTTTCACAAGTGTTGCAGACTTGTTTGGACAGTTGACGAAAGAGACAATGAAATCTGTCAAATTCACTTTGTAATTTGTTTGAGTTTTGATTTTTGAAGAAGCAAAATGATGAGAAACACTTATGTGAGCCAAAGTGAGTGAAATGTGTGTGTGTGTGCAGTTGTGTGGTGGTTGTTTGAGAGAACTGTGTGTATTATAATTGGGCAGTGATGGCAAAACTGATAAGATCTGATTGCTTCTTTGATCAATGAGTTTGTTGATTTCTTTCATGACCTAGTTTTACACTCACATTTTTCTGCTTGAATTTCCATTTTCAGCTGATGAAACCAAATTGAAAATGATGCAAGAAGTCAGTGAGAATTTTGAGGTAAATGAAAAGATAACCCCAAGCAACAAAACTCCCCTAACTTTCTGCAATGGCAGCCTTTCTTGTGCTTAATGTATATTAATTGAATTTCTGATGTTATGCAGTTAAAATATTAATAGTAGTATCCTGAGACTAATGATTTATATGGTTACAAGTCATTGATTCTAGGTTTGTATTTAGGAATTAACCAGGTTGTTGAAGAATTACATTTGGACTTAGTGAGCTTTCATTGCTAAATCTTTATTCATTAAGCATTTAAATAAAAGTGAAGTAAGATATTTTTCTTCTATTTTTGAGTGCTATGAAATGCCTGTATTTAAAGCTTTCTTTTATTTAGTTCAAATGAGTATTGTGTTCTTGTGAAACAGAGGCCCTTCTGATTCCTCTGAGTATTCCATGGTGTGGAAGTGAGAGAGGAGTTGTCAGATGCAGAATCTGACATCAGGAGTGGAGATGTCTCCAGTGACATCTTTTGCATGGTGATGGACCATCTTTTTAGATGAGCAGCAGAGAAAATGTGAAACACAAGTTAACCCAGCCTTGTGTTAGCAGAAATTCTACTTTAGTTGAATACTTAGTTGTTATGTGCCTGTTCTGAAGTTATAGCAAACTAAAATCATTCTTGTGGAGTTTTTTTATCTGCTTAAGCTATTTCTGAAACAATTTATCTGACTAAAATAATAGTTTTGACTGCTTAGTCTGGTGACCTGTTAGAATCTGAAGATTTAGTTGATTCTCTTTGCTCTTCCCTTCAGTAGGGAAGGAATTGTATTTGTTTTGCTAATGTTCTCTTGGAACTCACGTGGTTCTTCAGTGTCAGCAGATACTTAGTCACTGAATCTATTCAAGATTCACTGAAAATGTTAATAGTGGCTTTGAATGTAACTGAATGTAATCTGTGTGATGTCTATAACTCTGCATTTTTTGTTCTTAATTAGAATGTGACATCATCCCCTCAATATTCTACATTCCTGGAACACATCATCCCTCGGTTTCTCACCTTTCTACAGGATGGGGAAGTTCAGTTTCTGCAGGAGAAGCCAGCACAGGTAAGCTGTGTGGAGCATTTCCTGCCTTTTTGCTGTCCTTGATTAACCTAATGAAATGATTTAAGACTTGCTAAAATTAGAGCTGTCATTTGGAGTGGAACTGAAAAAGTCCTGTTTCTAAATGAGTTACTTATAAACTTTGCTAATCTGTGCTGCTGTGGAAAAGGAGGAAAACTAGGTGCAACAGAATAAGCTTTCTTACTCAAATATTGCACATTGTTGCAAGTTACTGACTTTACTGAAGGTTAGGAATGAAAGGCAAAAGTTGAATCTTTGTCATTAAATTCTTAAAATTGCATTCCTTAAAAAAAGTCTGATTTTCCAAGTGTAAATTAGTTAAATTTGCTTCATTCACATAGGTGGGTAGTAGGAAGAGTGATGTCTTTGTTCAAGCCTATGTCTACATGAAATAAAATGGCTTTTTTTTCTATTTCAACATGCAGAATTATTAAGCTGAAAAAGATGCTGTAACTAATTGTTGGGTTTTTTGGGCTTTTCAAAAATTTCCGTCATATCATTATTTTTCCTTTTTTTTTTCTCTTTTTCTACAGCAACTCCGGAAGCTTGTGCTTGAAATAATTCACAGAATACCAACAAATGAACATCTTCGTCTTCATACCAAAAATATCCTGTCTGTGATGTTCAGATTTCTGGAGGTACTTTTCTGAAATATTTTCCTCTGCTTTCTTCATCTTCAGAGTTTGCTGGGGTGGGATTTTCAATAGCTGTGCTGCAGGAATGGAAACACATTCTATTTAAGCTTCACCCATGCCCTCTCTTACCACCTACAGGTTTTTTGCCTGTTCTCTTCTGCCCTTTAGAAACTTGGATTTTACAAAAGCAGGGAGTTGTTCTTATGCTGGGTGGGATTTTCTGGCAAATAGCTGATTCTTGGGAGTTTGTTTTCTGTCTAGGAATTCACAGCACTCTCATGGGAGCAGACCTGATGGTACAGAGTGGTTGAAATGTCTGGGTTTTACTCCCCCAGGGGTAGATTTAATTTCAGCCAAACTCTGGGACTGCAGGGTATCCAAGGAAAGCTATTTTGCTCACACAAACCATATTAATGGGGCACTTCACACTGTTGAGAAGAGTGTAATTTTACAGGATTTTGAAGTACCCACTGAGTACTTGGAGAATTCAGCAGTGAGATCACTAAAAAGTTTCTTTTTTGTTTTCCAGACTGAGAATGAGGAAAATGTACTGATTTGCTTAAGAATAATTATTGAATTGCACAAACAGTTCCGACCAGCAATCACTCAAGAAGTAAGTCATAACTCTTGTTACATGGTATAAAACTTGCTGCCATGCTCTTCAGAATTGCTGTTTTGTTCACCTGGGTTGACTGGTTTGTTTTGCTGTTGTCCTTTTATGTTGTCTGACCTGTTGTGGTAACCATATGTTTAATTTTTTCCCCTTTTTTAAATCTTAAACTGATTTTTAAAAGAGGTTTGCATAATGCTAGCACTTGGGGAAAAAACCAAACTGTTAAAGCTTAGCTGTACTTGGTTTAAATGTTTATGGGCAATATGAGCAGTCTAAGGAATACAATTCCCACACAAAGGAAGAGAATTGATGCCCTTTTAGTTTGTAAAGGAAAATCCTGAAAAAGGAATTTACTCTGGTTGACTTCCCCCTGCCTCCCCTCTTT